TGATGGGCACATATGTTAAGGGGGCAGTATGATGGGCACAGATACTGTGGAAATGGGCACATGATGGAAAGGGGCACTTTGATTGGCACATGTGATGGAAAGGGGCACTCTGACAGGAAATATGATGGTAAGGGGCACTCCGAGTGTAAGGGGGCACACTGACAGGAATACCAGATGTAAGGTGGCACTGTGATGGGGATACCTGATGTAAAGGAGCACTCTGATGGGCATACCTGATGTGATGGGAATACACGATGTACTCTGACAGAGACACCGAAGTAAGGGGGAACACCCTATTCGGACCTCAACCACAAGAAAAGTTTAGTGACCGGACCTCCTTGAATTTTAATTCAAAACACCCCCTGGCCTAGACTGTACCCGTGCCTTGCTAAAGTGGAGAGAAGCTAGTTTGGTGGGGGAGAGTCGAGGCTCGAGTAACACCCCTATCCAGTCAGAAACATGATGGATGATTGCACACAGGCTGTGTCAGTAGGTCCAGTGCTGCCAGAGGCCGTTATACCTGTAGTCAGGAGGAAAACTTTTATACCAACTGGTTGAGAGCTTGGTGAAGAATAGTGCAGCCTCGGTCAATCAACGGTACTGGACGCTTCTGCTCAGGGCTGATCCCAACTCTTGTTGGAGTGAAAGTTTGAAAGTTGGATGATCAGGCCATACAAGCGGTGGAGGACTGGGGTATGCCAAAGGCCGTGAAGAGATCAAGACTGAGTGATCCTACACCTGCGAATGGGGAAACAAGATTGTGTAGCCATAGACTACATTGAAGCACTGTATGCTGTTTTTGATAGAGTGTAAAAGCTCCCCAATCTAAGGTACAAATTTGAACATACCCACCAATGTAAAGGCTAGAGACTGCCTGAACAGATCACTAGACTAGGTCAGATCCTACACCAGATCATCCTGAAGAAAGGAATTGACCCCCACAATGCTGATAACGTTAATCTAGGGCGATTCCTGCAAGGTGCCAGGCCTAATCACCCGACTGTACTGAAGCTGCTACTCAAGGGTACACAAATCTACCTACCCTGAGCTGGTGAAGGAAGTTTGAGAAGCCCTGTTTGATTAAAATAATCAGGAATTCAGATGGCTTGTTGAGGAGGTTGTGGACTCCACAGTCAGGGAGATACAATTCTGTTGTTTGGTGGATACTTCCCCAATTACATCAAGCCTTTAAGTAAGTTGTCCAAGAACAGAGCACCCTAGCACAAGGGGTTGAGAAACTATGGAGACAGGGAGCAAGAGAAAGGGTTCTGCAGCCAGGTGAGTTAGTCTGCATGAAGGCTACTGCCAAGTGGGCCTGGAATCAGCCATGCCCCTTTGTTTTGTTGACCAAATCACAACCAAGTAAAGCGGACGTGGAACTGGTACCAGAAATGGTGCCCACTAAGGCTTTGACCCAAAATGGGGAAGGTACCAGTCAGCCTTTGGAATGTCATGGATCATCCAGTTACATTGAAGGCTCAAATGCTGATCAGGCAAGCTAGTTCAGCCACCCCAGCAGAAACACCTGGGAAGGGGCTAAAAGATGGAGGAGCCCCTATTCTCATCTGAGTTGCTGTCTCCTAAATGGCAGGAAAGTCTGAGATCAGTTGTCCAGGTGAAATGTTCTCCAGTAATGACTGATGTAGGTTGTGCCAAAAGTGCTCAGCACCAGGTGCAGTTGCAGGAGGACAGACTGTTAAGTGGCCTGGAGGATCTCAGAAAACAGGAGGAAGAACATGATATAGACTATAGAACCTTGAACAGAAGTACTATTCCTGACCAGTCCACCACCGCTCCTATCAAAGATGCCCCAGGTGGTTCAATGATTTGGATTCGAAAAGTGTACATTACCAAATAGCGATACACCCAGATAAAAAGGAGAAGACTGCTTTCATTTGCTCGTTAGAATTCTTAAAGTTCAACAGGATGCCTCAGGGACTATTGGGGGCCCCAGCTATGTTCCAGCGCTTGATGGAATGTACTCTTGGTGATATAAACCTGGCTGATGTATTGTTTTATCTGGACATTGTCTTTGGAAGCCAGACTCAAAGTCCCTGAGAAGGCATGAAGGGGGGGTTTGAAACTGTCATTTTGGAAATGCAAAATTCTACCAAACTTCTGTCACCTACCTAGGACATGTCATGTCTACCTAGGGCATTTCCACAGACCCAAAGAAACTGGAAGTAGTGACCTCCTGGCTCCAAACCATGATGGCATTGAGGTCTTGGTGTTCTGCTCTTACTATTAGCGGTTGGTGGTGAACTTTGTAAAGGATTGTTCGACCACTTAATGAACTGCTCAAGAATGAATGAGGTGGAAAACTAAGACTGTCACAGCAAGTGAGACTAGGGGTTCAAAAGTCAGTGGACCCCTTAGTGCAAGAGCTTTTCACCACCACGAGAGCAGCCTTACATAAAAAGGCATCAGCATTGGCCAAACCATACAAACTTAATGTTGATCCTAGCCAAGGGTTGGGCAGAGTTCTGTATCAGGAACAGGATGGTGCACATCGCCTCATAGCCTATGTGAGTCAGAGCTTGACCATAACTCAGAATTATCCAGTACACAAGATGGAGTTCCTGGCCTTGGACAGTGCTTCCTTCATAGTGAAAACAGAACCCTCTGACTTACCATTTTGTCCTCAGCCAAGTTGGATGCTACTGAACATTGGTGGCTGGCAGCCTTATCTGGATTCCAGTTCAGTTCGAAGTAACAGCCCAGAACAGGGAAGCAAATGCTTTGTCTCAAAGGCCCTGTAGGCTGCACAGAGCCAAATAACTAGACTTATGTGACACCTGAAGGGTAACATGCTATGTGGCAGGGCATTGCCCAGAGGGAAAGGCACTGAATTCATTAGAGCTACCCCTCTGGGGTACCGACGTGCTATTGTGATCATACACAAGTGAGGCATTACTTCCGCTATTTAAAAAAAATAAATAAAATGGATCAGAAGGACAGACTTGTGTCAGCTAGTTATGGAGCTGATGGCCAAGCAAAATCCTGGGATGGTATTCTGTTCTGAATTCCAAAGTAGTGCATTGAGATTGGAACCAGTTACAGAACCACTTTTGTATGTAGAGAAGGGACCCCTTAGACTTGTGGCAGCTGTTCCTCCCAGAAAAGCACAGACAAGCTGTGTTAGTTCCTTTTCATGAGAAACATGGACATTTAGGCAGAACCTTTAGGTTAATCAGGATAGATTTTACTGGCCTAACATGAGAGCTGAAGTGGAGAACTATTGTCACTCTTGCCTACCATGCATCCAAAGACTTTACCAGTCAATAAACATATCACCAGATACAGTCAAGCCTATCACACCAAGGATCAACAAGTCATGATGATCATGGTGGCAAAAGTCCTAGTGGAAGCGTTTCATGCACTATGGCCTGCCCATCCAGATACATTCTGATTAAGATAGAGACTTTGGGAGCAAAAACACATGCACATATGCCAACTTCAGGCATAAAGAAATCCAGAACTTCCCCAAACCACCCACAAGGATATCCTCAGCCTGAAAAGGTTCAACTGTACATTGCTGAACATTATAGGAACTTTGCCTTCTGAAAAGCAGCAGTTGAGCAACCACATTGCCACCATTGTCCATGCATACAATAGCATGACCGATGATGCCAGTGGGTACTCACCCTACAGACTGATGTTTGGGAGAGAGGCTTGACTATCAGTAGAAATGTTCTTTTGCACCTCCGTAAGAGGTTAAGGGTATGATCTACAAAGGATATGCGAGTAGATTACACAAGAAACTGAAACAAGCTTTAAAAAAAAACAAAAAAAAACACAACAACAACAGTGTAGAATACTACAGCCCAAGCATAAAGGAACAAAATAATTTTGACTTAAAGAGTGCAACACCTTCAGCTGGGAGATAGTGTACAATTGAGAAAACCTAGGGGTACCTGGAAAGCACAAGTTAGGCTGCTGTGACCCCAACTGTACATCTGTAAGCAACTCCCTGGGCTGCCAGAGTATCAAGTCTGCCTTGAGGGTAGGACTGGCCATTTGAAGATGTGCCATTGGAACCATCTGCTCCCCATTTCCTGTGTTGTCCCAAGTGCCCCAACCCATTACCTCCTGGGACAGTATCAACACCTCCCAGGACCTGGCTGGGAAAGCAAGGTCAGCACAACTGTCGAGGATCAGAATGATGAGAAGCTCATGCTCCACCAATTTTGGCCAGTAATTCAGGAAACCAGATCCAACATGCATGCAGCTGAGGATAGATTTCATTTGCATTGCAAATCAGATATAAATTGATTTGGTATTCCATCAATTTTTTTTTCCTCTAAACTGATTAGGCCCATGCGAAAGAACCCTTCTAAATTTCCATTCAGTGAAAGATTTTCTTCTTGTAAAGCCATGCCCAACATCAATGTAGATACAAATTGGGGGTGTACCTGGTGACCATAAGCTTCCATCACCTCTTTAGGAGTTATATTGGGAAGACTGCTCCCCTCCTACACTGTTTAGTAGAAAAATAAGGTACTCACACATAGAATAAATAAAATTTATTGTTCTGACATGACCAGAATAAATATTGTCCTTTTGACATGACCACATCATTCTCAGAGATCTTCCCTTTAACAAAACAAAAATCTGTTACTTCACATACAAAGAATCAAAGAAAAAAAAAACAAAAGACAAAAAAAAACACAATTGCTACAAAATATTACAAATACACACAGGATCCCTGTAGACAGGTTATCTGGCATGAACATTTTCAGGGCCAGTTATATTTTCTGGGCTGAACTTCAACAAAATGGAAAACTGGCAGGAGTTCCTGCATATCTCTTTATGACAGATCATAGATGGACCCAACTTCTCAAATTAATATTATTGGAAACAGCCAAGCAGATGTGGTCTTTAAAATTAAGGAATCTGATACCTCTCAGTAGCAAATTTTAGACTGACAAATTGAAGGATTTTGATCAGTGGTATAGGTGGTTCAGTTTTTTCCAGGATTCATTTGCTCTGCAGTCAGACCTTTAGGCTGCTTTCTCAGCATGGGCAGATACAAGCTGGAAAAGGTTGCTGAGATTAAATTCTGGCTCCACAGGATCTCGTAGCAGACGTTCATTGAAGAGGATAGAAAGGTTACTCTCCAGGAGAGTTTTACTTCGGAAGCAAAGTTTCTGATTAAACAGACGACTCAGATCTTGCTCCACTACTGGCAGTTGGCAGACGGCTCCTCTTAAACGTTTCTTTGATGGTTTAATGTTGGATTTGAGCTGTGGGGACATGACATTGTAATGAGTAGATATCAATTGGCAAGGTTGTGGTACAAGTGCTAAATGTAAGAAAAAAAAAAAACAATATATGCACAGCCTACACATTGCTAGACTTTAGGCCAGTAACTGTCAACCTTCTGCTTTCCCATTTTCCAAGGGCAGAGGTGCATTTGGTTGCTATTCACCAAGAACAAGCTGTGCAGATTCCATCCCACCCTTACAGCCTGCTCTCCATACAGTATTCCAAGTCACTTATCGGAGTACTGCGGTATGCAATACTGCATCAGCCCCATACAGACAAGGCATGTGAAGTCTGATTAACAAAAAAAAAAAAAAGTGCCCTTACAGCAGTTCGCATGCATCTTCAGTGGCACAGATGAACAGAACCAGGAAAAAAAAAGTAGAAGTTAAGTTTTCATTGCTGGTTTCAGAAATTGGAACCCTCTGGCCAAACTGAAGTACTCCAGGCTTGAATACTGCTAGCCTTGATAACCCAAGTTCACAGGGTTCAGAATACTTTACTCCCATGTCTTCTACCTTTCATAACAGACATGAAAGAGTACGTTTGAGAGATGCGAGTACCTTGTACAGTATGGAGTGGGTATGCTGGAGAAATGTTGCACATTTCTTTATCACAGTATAACAAAAAATAATCAAAAATTCATAAATATGCTCTAGGTTTATCAAGCAGAAGGAGCCATGCTACATGGGTCATTACAGCGATCAGCAGCTTTTAATGAGTTTTTATCCACCTGTCTGGACTTTAAAGCAGTGTGTACCAGTCCCCCTGTCTGTATGACAAACATTTTCTTGAGTCTGTGGCTTTCAGAGTCCCAACATCCGACTATGTCCAAACAATGGAGATAACATTTCCATTGGATGGTTGAGAACAGAGCACAAGGAAGGTAGGATGCTGTCTTCCTAATGAAGAAAGGCCAACACTGCCTTGTGAGAGAAAGCAGGGTATTAGGTACAAGGCTACCTTCTACCTGTAAAAGATCAGGAAGGCTCCTTTAGAGAGGGCAGCCCACTGAAACATCTGACTTTTTGCCATCCCGCTTCTCAGTCACCAACTTTAATAGTATGGCTCTCTGATGGGGCCTTGTGACAGCAGGCCTGGCTTTTTGGGGGGAGGCCAAGTGTTCTCCTAGGACAGGGATAGGCAACCTGCAGCTTTCCAGCTGTTGCAGGACTAAAAGTTCCATCATGCCTCTGCAAGTCATAGCTGTAACTGTCAATTTTGCAATGTCTCATGGGAAATTTAGTTCCACAAAAACAGCTAGAGAGTTGCCTACCCCTGTCCTAGGAGTATGTCTGTGTGCCAGGTTCTTCTGGGCCAGTTTGGTGAAACGAGATCACAGATTCTCTTTTCCACCATATTAACCTATATGGACTCCAGGGAATACTGGACCACTGAAGCCAGCGGTGGATAACCTTTGGGTCTGGCCAAAAAAATGAGCAATTTGTTGAACCTAAAAAGTCAGATGGTCCATACCTGGGGTCCCCCCATTAAAACTGTGGATGAGGGACCCATTCCCTTTGGTCTAGGCAAGGATAACTGAGGGAATCTGCCTTAAAATTGCCTACTCCTGCCATGTGAAAACAGTTGGTGGTGCTTTTCAAGCCAGAGTGATAAGACTTTTCCTTCAAGGTTGCCCTACTCCTGGTTTCAGGGATTGATCTAGGCCACTGCCATGGCAATTGTCTGAACTGCACTTAAACTGGTGACCCTGGAGAAAGGTTGTCCAGTCATTTATTGCCCTGAGCACCAGAACAGATGGGAAGCTTTGCTTCTCTGGGTCAGAAGGCATCCTATACCAAGATTGATGCACTCCTCTCCCCAACCTCAAGGCTGGGACTTTTCAACATCGATGAAGATTCCTCACCCCAATTTTCAATGCTGGATTGGTAATCCAAGCTCGGAAGTTTCCATACTTGGCTAGAGCGAAGCATAGGAAAGTCAAGAGATTAAGAGCATTTGTTTCAGTGCAACAAAAAGTTGTGTTGGACAGGCCTTTGAGTGGAACAGAGTTAAGAAACCGCTTCACGTTAGGACTGACTCATGGGATAGTTCTCAGAGGGATGTAATTTTGATCTTAGGTCTGAGTGCCGACATTACAGAAGCTTGTTTAGCCATGGGCCATGTCTAGGATGCCTAGATACTCCAGATGCAGAGAAGGCTGGAGAGAAGACATTTGAAAGTTGATTACCCAGCCAAAATGTGGATAGTCCTTTGAATGTTTGCAGACAATTGGATAATAACTTCAGAAGGTAGTCTAGTTACAAGGTAACCTGGATGCCCTCTGTCTAGTAGGCAAGGAGTGCAATCAACTTTATGAATACTAAGATACAAATTAGGAGTTTATCAAAGCACAGCCTAGTGCACATAAAGTGGGTATCTGGAGGTTGACCTCTTATGGTTTACTGGCACCAAATATTTCTCCTCGACTCGGAAGCACTAATGAACCTTGTTTATTCCATGCAGTACCTATGAATACAAAAAAAAAAAAAAAAAAAAAAAGGAAGGACTTTAGGGATTTTAAGTCCAGGATAGGACAAATGCTCCCATTGGGTGTTGTACCATCAACAGGTTTCAACAGAATCATCTAAACTAGTCCTCCAGAACAACCATTCCCTGGAAATAGGGTAGTTCAGGATCTATATTCTGACTTCCTTGAACAGATTGGTTAGTTTTAGGAAATACAATTAGGGAGTAACGTTTGGAACTTTATTCTGTACCCCCTTGAAACCACTGTAGGGGGGGGGGGGGTTACAGACATCCCAATGTGTTCCACATCTTGCACTAAAAGCTTAAAATTTTTGACTTTTGAAGATTAAACCTAATAAGCAGAGTAATGGGGCACTCTGAAAATTAGGTTTTTAATGCTTTCTGCTGTGAGAGATGGACCTTTCCACTTTTGAATTTGTCAAGTGCTAATGAGGGGGGGGGAAAAAAAAAACAAAAAAAAACCACACAACACGGTCAGCTGAAGCTGCCTGTAAAAGGTTTCATATCTGAATAAGATTTTAGCTATAGGATTTTGCATAGGGACAGAAATTAGCCAGTCTAGAGATTTGCAGCAGGGTGAAAGGCAGTTTTAAGTTTTCTAGAGTCAAGTCTAGACAGACCAGATCCTGTTGAGTGTTCATTGCCCTGGTCCATTGGCTGTGGTCTGACAAAATTGAAGCAAATGGCTGTATGCAGCGTTGGACCTGCAAAAAGTAAAGAGTTGCACAAAGCACCTCAATTTCTGTCTGCAAAAATTCTTTAACAATCTATGGGCACAGTAGAATTTTTATTTAAGACCCACAGCAGGGTCTACTATGGAACAGTCCAGTTTTGTGAATTTTTTCACTATTACTTGGGAATTCTCACCGGGGAAAAAAAAAAAAAACCCACGTCATTTTTCAGGAGAAACCCAATAGTTTATAAGTTGCTTATTCTATTTTTCATGCATGTGGAAGGCATTTTGCTGATCTTAGTGTGACTATACTGAGGCTTTTGCATACAGCATGAGTGATAAGACATTTGCAAGCATATGGCATAAGGGCATAGCATCAAGTGTATGGGAAGCTGGGGAAAAATCTTCTGTCTCCAACACGGCATTTGGGTCTTACTTGTTGTCCACATATACCTATGAAGGTATTAGTAATAATTCTGACTTCAGTAAAGGAGGAGAAGCACTAATGAACCTTGAGCTCTGGAAAGTGATGGCTGAATGAAAAGGATAAGTTCACCTTTTATAAAAAAAAAAAAAAAAAAAAGTGCATTTATTATTTTGTCTACAGGAGCCTGGAAAGCATTGCCCCAGCGATCAGTAGATCACCGATGCCATGCAGGACTGCTGCAGACCTGTCAGAATACCTGCTTGCTCATACATCCTGTACAGCAAGCAGATATTCTAACAGGAATCTTCAATGAACTACCACGGTGCTCATTGAAAACAAGCCAACAGCTGCTAAGGCTGTTGGGACTTGCAGTTCATTAATTTACAGTCAATGAGTGATGCAGCCATGTTTAAAATTTGACAGCATGGGGAGACTTCTCCCTGTACTATATCTGTCAGAGGGGGGGGGGGTGGCGGCTGTGGCTATGGGAACAGAGTACACCCTAAAAACGGGTGGAACATGCAACAATCCCAAAGGTGAACTTCTCCTTTAGGGGTATTTGTTGTCTGAGAAATTGTGACAGTTGCAGGGAATAGGGTTCAAGTTTGTTTGAGAGCTTGGGTCAATGTAGATACTGGCACTAAAATAGGACCCCGTTTCACTGCAAGGGGATTGCTTGAAGGACATCAAAAGGGTGAAGGTTTTCAGAGCTTCTACTGTGATTCCCTTGCCTGGTTTCCACCATTGTTGTATTCCCATGTGGGGGTACATGTGTCTACAGAAGGATACACCTGAACTCTGGTGTCGGCCATCAGGTAGCGATGTCAATCTGCCAAAAGGGCAGGAGGAAGTGCCAGAGTACCCCTAAGGGCTCTAGGTAGAAGTGGACAGTGAGCACAACCCTATGTATCTGGTCATCCACCCAAGACCAAGCTCTATGGTGGAAATTTTACCACTTCGTTTGAAAATGTAAACACTCAATAATTGAAGCCAAAAAGTTTTGGTTTCCTGATGTGCAAAAATGAATACTATACAGGAGACAATAAATGCACTGCCAGCAGTGGAGAAATGAAGTCTCATACCTGCTATAAGGCTACAGTAATAAGTGATAACCAAAAGAACCCATCTTACCTTCCTACATTGCTGGTCCCTGTATGGGTCCAGGTTGGTCTGGACAGGCAAACCCCCAGGGACCTTCAGGGATTTTAATAGGAAAGCTCAAGGTCCTGTATCTTATTACTGTGCAGCCAAGTGCTCAGGCAAATGCCCAACAGGTTCAAGTATGTTACCTTGAACCTGAGGGAAGCAATTTAAGCTTCCCAGCTGACAAGTGTATGAGAAAAATCACCAGAGGACCTTTAGGGCAATAATGCCCACTCATTGTTTAGTATGCAACATTGGAAAGGGGGGGGGGGGGGGGGTCAAAGTGACCCTGCACTATGCAATCTATTGTACAGTCTCCTTTAGATCTACCAGCAACAATGTAGTGCAAGGGCCCAACTGATTTTATAGGAATTGGAAAAAAAAATGGTTTAGGATTCGACCTCATTGCATAGTTTGTTGAATCTAAAAAGCAGATTTGAAGAGCTTTTACAATCAAATCATATGGGCATGACCAGCTTAAGAGTCGCCTGTAAAGGGGTTGGCTACATGTAAGAATAAAATACATTTATATTTATCTTATTCCTACCTTCATTTTCTCCTTGTTAGGATCATGAGCCACAAGATGTCTAAGCAGACTTTCCTAAAAGAAAAGAATGTTACCTGTGCCCAACTCTCCAGCTATCAGCCAAAAGGTGATTTTATGTCCCATACATACCCTCATGGCAAAGGTTTTATTGCAGTCAGCATGGTAACAATGGTAAGGCTGCAAGCATAGATGATCCTTTCGTACATGATGAGTCAGGTTGAAGACTGTAGTAAATGTCTTTTTACAGTCTTCTCTGGGACAGGCCAAAGTGATTTTTTTTGTCCACATGGGTCTCTTTGTGCCTCCGCAGAGCAGCCTGTTTTTTAAAGGACTTCTTACACTTTGGACATTGAAGTTCCACTAACAAAAGAAGGAAAATATAGTAAACACACCATCACAAGCAATACAGTGTTGCAACACATTGAGTTTCTTTCTGCAAGGCTTCATCTTTGGTGTGCCAACATACTGTATTTGTTGGCTGTTACTGCTGGCTTCCAAGACTGAAGTGAGATTTTTTTTTCTGCTACATTTCCACTATACGGGAGTTCTGTAAACATTTAATACATCGCATACCCATGGCAATACAGCCTCACTAATAGGGTTTTTTTTTTGGTTTAGTTTTTTTTTTTTTTTTTTTTTTTTTTAAAGACAAAGGAAAAAAGGTAATTACTTACAAGGATGTTGTTTTCCATGTTTCTGTAGAGCACTCCAGGTTTGAAACTTAGCTTGGCAGCCAGGGAAAGAGCAGAAGTACCCTATGAAGAAACATTACATACTGACTACACAAAAACCATGCAAGTTATTTTTACATCAACTGTTGATACCAAACTAGTTGGAACATTCTTACAGGATGTCCCCCAAAATACAAGCAGACCTTAATGTACTGTTTAATTAGGCAGCTAGGTGGGAATGCACTTGGGGGCTAAAAATAAACATGCATCATACAACCTAGGGAGAACTGGCCCCATCTGGAATATGCAGTTCAATTTTGGGCCTTCGTTCACAAAAAGAAACATGCAAAGAGGGGCAACCAAACTGGTAAAGCGGCATGGGTGGATTGAACTTTGAGAAAAGATGAGCAGAACTGAATTTATCTTCTTGTAAGAGGTTATTGTGGATATGATCACCATGTATGAATAAGTGGTCCTTCTAGTGAATTGATGTAAAATTTTTAAGGTAATCACAAAGGGGCCACTATGCCTGGACATTTATGGAAAGGCTTCCTCAAAGTATAAGCTGTGAAAATTTAGAATTGGTTCTGGTCAGTTCAGACTGAACTAGATATATTCCTAAATGAACAAAGCATAAATGGACAGTTCAAATACCAAGTTAGTTGATCCAGGGAATATGATTGCCTTTTGGGGGATCAGGGAAGAATTTATTGATCCCCTGCTATAGCAAATTGAACCATGTTTTAAAGTATCAAAATGTGGGTATAGGATTCTGTACTTTTTTTTAATCTGATAGATTTGTGTCCACCTTGGTTCACAAAGAAAAAAAAGCAACAGTGCCCTCTCCCCCCTGCCCAACATCAGCTGGAAAGAAAATAGGTTATCCACTTTACACTTGTATACCCCATGGGCCCCTTTATACCCACTTCTGTAACCCATAATGTTATTGCAGAATTATAGTTGAAAGTATTTATCGAAAAAAAACAATAAAAATGTCAGGTTGCTTTAACTGACAAAATGCAGATCAAAGCTCATCCATTGATTTGCAGGTGAATAAAATGCAGTTAAGTGCAAGGAAAGTGGGTGGGCAGCAGGACAGTGCTTACTCCACATATACACTACAGTTTTATGGGCCTATGTAGCATTGCCCAGAGTCCACAAGCAACAACCCAACCAATGTTGCGTAAACAGAAGGCCTTTAAGGGATTAAAAAAAATTAAAAAAAAAAAAAAAATGTATGTATTCTTAACTCAAAAATTACTTTCTATTGCTCTCAGCTTCTTTTTCGTAGCTGTAATCCATTGTCCTGTTAGAGGGTTGCTACACTTTCCTATGGTCTCACTGTATGTAGGTATGCAGTCACCCTATTGCTCAGCTCCAAGTGTGGCTAGAGACTACGCACTTTGGGATTTGTAGTGTGCATAGAGGAGTGCATGTGACCACAACCAACATGCACTGCTTGTTCCAAACACAAGTGAGAAAGGTTTTCAGAATTTCAGATATTGCAAGGAGGCAGAAAAAAAAAAAAAAAAAAAAAAAAAAAACAAAAAAAAAGGAAAGTTTTACGGTAATGCCTTTTCCAGGAGTCTCAGGACAGCACCTTTAGAGACTTCGGTTCCTCCCCACCTGAGGAAACGCCTCCACCCACTGACCTCAGTTCATGACTTATCACCTCTGGTCACCTGGGGAGACTATACAAGGCCATGGCACAGGTAGAGTGCGCCACGATGCCCTCCAGGACTTTCAGACCCTCACACATGCCTGTCTAATTGCCAGTCTCAGCCACCTAGCTAAGGTGTGCCTAGAAGCTGTACAACCCTTCATTGCTCCTGAAAGGATACAAAAAGGGAATCTGAATTCCTGATCCCTCCAGTCCCACAAAAAAAAAAAAAAAAAAAAAAAAAAAAAAACCACACACATCTTCTAACATAAACGTGTGAAGTTTCCTCTTGGTCACACGAGAGATTAGAACAAAAAAATGAAGGTAAATTTCTTAGCCTTGATTAAAAATCAAGGCTTTCTTGGCTAAGAAGCCGGGTCTATCCTAAACATTACCCTATTCGCAAAAATCTGGAAGGGGACTCCAATTGATAGAGCTTCCAACTCACTCTCCTTTCTGTACTATCCACTGCCAGGAATACGGTCAGGATTTTGAGGTAACTTTAATCCAGTGGTTCAAATAGGGGGGCCTGTCAGCACATTAAGTACCACTTTGGAAAGGGCCTCTTACTGGCTTTTGTAAGGTCAAGGACTAGTTCACACTTTACTAATTAGAACTTTTGCCAAACACCTGTATAGCGTTTGAGGTCCTGTTCTTGGACCCCCTGCCTCCCTACTAGTCGCCGGGGAAGCTTCAATTTGTTGGGGAAACTCTTGACCAGAGACCTTAAGGAATCAAAAAGTAGCACTCATTTCCCTAACTGACTGACTTAACCAGGTCACCCTGGGAAGGAGCTTCCTCCCTGATCAGGCCCTCAATACAAGACTCACAGCACCTTCGTACAGGAGTCTGAGGGGCACTTTTTGGCCCCATGCTGTGGCTTGGGCTTTTCCCTAGCTTTCACCTGCAAACAGAACACAGAAATAGGGCTCTCATTAACCATAGAGAGCTGGCCTCCCTCCCCAACCCCGTTCTGCAGAACATGGAAATCTTCTAAACCGAGACCTCTTCCCCACCCCCTGCTCTAGTCCCTCTGACCACCAGAAGGTCTGAGGATACCCCCCTGGAGCTAGGGACCAATCCGCTAGGAAAGGGTGGGGGGGGGGGGGGTCAGAAGAAAAAAAAAAAAAAAATTTCCTGAGCCACTTACCTGAGGCTGGCTGGTGCTGGAGTCACCTGGTCCAGCACTTCTGTTCAGGACATGGCCCACGGTGGTGGTCCACCTTGAGGTCCTGCATCTCCTGCCTCTGCAGGATGCAGCCCTCAGCACCGGCCACACTCCAGTCCACGTTTTAAGGCACGTGTCCCAGGAGGAAGTCTTGCCCCTCCATCGGAAGTGATGTCATCCGCCTCAGGCTCCATTTGCCTGCACATCGTGGGGCTGCAGTACATCTCCCTAGGTCCCCCTGGACAAAGAAAAGTGGACACCTGGCACCCCAAACCTTCCCCAGAGGGGATCGGAATAAAAAAAGAAAAACACCAGGTAAAAAGGGACACCCCGACCACAGCTACGCCGAGGGGGCCCGGTCCCTCCTTCCACAAAGTGGGATAGGCACCAGACAGCCAACACCCGGTCCAGCGCCCTCCCCAGGCACAGCACAATCCTCTGACCGCCCTGGAAGGGCTTCAGAGACAGTGTCTCCCCACCGGAGGAAATATTACTGAGGTTGGTGTGGGGAGGCCTCACTTTTATTCAGGGTGGAGGCGCTTCCTCAGGAGGAGCCGAAGTCTCAAGGTGCTGTCCTGAAAGAAGGGGAAGAGGAAAAACCAAACAAGATTTTCTTAATAGATTTTAGTGCGACCAAGTAGTGAATGTGTAGGATAATTAGTGCCACTAACCTAATGTAGAAGTCAACATTTACCATAACTTTAAAAAGGTTAATTTGCACCAAGCGGGCCCAGAATGTATTTTTCCCCATGCCAGAGCAGTGTGGCTGCTGTGGAAGACTGTTGTAGCATTAGCTACAGAAAGCAAGTGGTGTTGTGTTCCTGCAGCAGTACGAGACATTTTCCTGTTGCAGAGTATAGGTCAAGTCAATCTTGCAGCCCTGCCATTCAGGAGAAGCTGTATATTGTGTATCAAATAAAAAGCTTCCTCATGTCATCTGCCCCCCTCTCCACCTCGGACAATCGAGAGATGCCTTGTAGTCATAAAATACAAGATCTTCTTGGCGGGGGATGTGCCAAGAACAACTATACCCAGTAGCAGAGAAGACCAGACAACTTACCAATACGTACCTTAGGAAACCACAACCTATTACAGCTGCCCCAGCAGCCAGACCTTTATGGCATAGAAATAATTTGTTGGCTTGACCAAAAACTATAGTAAACTTAGAATTCTGCCCAAGTTAATTGGCTGAGGAAAACATCATATGCAACTCATAAGACATTAAATGTAACACTTACCTGCATGGCGTCTGCGATGGGCTGTAAGGCTTGCACTAGTAAAACCTTTCCATTCACAACCTGCTTGGTCACAACTGCAAACAAAGAAAATCTGAAATATTTAGACACATTGAAATTTGTATCTTTACTGTGAAATTCCATTAGTACTTAAAATCCCCCAGCCCCCCCCGCCACATTCCAAAATCTGCAGCCTTGTAAGTGTTAACTATAAGAAAAGCAATATTTATATATCCTTTACAGCTAATAGACACCCCCCCCCCAGGTAAAAAAAAAAAAAAAAACAAAAAAACAATAGAACCCCCTCCCCCCCCCCCCCGCAAAATACCCCCTCAGGGGACAATGGGGAAATTCTCATCTCTCTCCCTGGAGAACAGATGTAGGCCCAGAGCTGTCCCTATTCCTCCAGAAACTCCCTACTGCAGATGGGGATGTGACCCAATGTGGCTGCCAGGGTCCCCTGAATGCAGTGGCACCAACCAGAATGCTTCTCCAGGGAATCAGAGAAACCGTTTCTCCTGACTTCCCCCTCCAGCTGTACTGCCACTCTGGACGAGTGCCACCTACAGTGGAGAAACTAGACTGTACCTGCCTACAACACTTTCATAAATGAACTATCACCTGTGCAAGAGTTCCAATCCATCCAGAATATGGAAAAAAGTTTCTTCCTGCAACACCTTAATGTGTTAATTAAATCAGTCTTAGTCACGTTTGTATAGAATTTGAAACAGATATTCACAGTACACTTTGTAGATTTATACAGTACAATGCTGCCAGCAAAATGTACCACTTAATGCATCAACCAAAATGTTCTTGCAGTTTATGCTTCCTGGCATGTAATGAGCCCCTGTTATCTGCCTCAGACTAACTTTCACCTTACAAATAACATACTGCATCTACTGTTAAAGTATTCAATTGATAACTCAGTTATATAGCATCCAGATATGTGCAGGAACCC